GATTTTGCATTAAATTTAAAATGCATTTTATGTAGGGATTTTCTTATACAAAAACAGGGACTCTTCCCACATTGCTAACGTTTCGATTTCTATCAGACACCTTCTTCACCGCTTCTGACTGGAGTACTGCTTCTCTTATGTATCTGGCGCTTTCGTGGTAAGAACACAATCAAAAACCTGGCTAAGTTTGTATCTCCCCTCGTCCCGGTTCCTCACTTTAGTGACTCTCCATCCACCGGACAGAAGCAGTACTCCGGTCAGAATCTCCAGGAAGGTGTCTGATAGACATTGAAAAATAAGCAGCGTAGGACGTATCGAATGTCGGACGACTCGGACCATCACCAACTCGGCCCAGACAACTCGGCCCATCTACCTGGTCAACTCGGCCCAATACCGGAGGCGGAGACAGTAATTTAGGTAGATTTAGACATAATTTATCCCCCGTTGTTAAAAAGAAAATCCCTATATACCATACATGCATGTTATAACAACCTGGTGAAATCATTTACAGAAGATTAAATTGTCTGCTGTACAATATAGCTCATCTTACCATCCTGTCTTGTTCACGAGCTTTGATGCTGTGAAAGCTCCCACCAGGAACCCTACGCAATAGGGCAGCAACCCCAGTCCTGATATGCAGTAAAAAGTTAACTCAATTTAACCAAAAAAGTAATATCCTCAAACGGTTCGTTCATAAAGTTTATCGCAAATACATATGTACGAGATAGGTACGAGACCTAAATATAGGTACGAGAGAAAAAAAATCTTGAAAAGTAAATTACAGTTACACAAAGACCACTTTGAATTAGAACATTTCAATTTTTGGTAACTAAAGAAGGTTACATAATGCCCCCTTAAAGGGTAGTAGTGAAGGAGTCCCACCTTGCTGCCATGGCTGAGCGTTCATTGTGATCATCATCCACACTGGAGCGATTCCCCAGAGTATCAGCGTCGTGACGGTTTGCATAAAAATCAACACTGCATAACAATAATTAAAATAATAATAATAATAAAAGATAATAAAAAAATAATAATAAAAAACAAAAAATATAAAAAATATATAAAAAAACAAAAAAAATAAAATAAAATAACAAAAACAAAAAAATAAAAAAAA